ATAGAAAAATGAAGGGAGATGTTACTGAATAAAAATTTTAAAGGACAAAAATCGTTTAAAAATGAAATAAACTTTTTCATTCACTATTTCCATACTTTTAAGTATAACTCTATGCATTGATTTTTAATGAAGAGGAAGTTTTCAAAACCAAAATATATTCGCTAAAGCCTGAGGGTTTGGGCAGTTTTGTTATGACAAGTAGAGGCAACATATTTAAATGGCTCTCCATTAATTTCACTATCAGTGACTCCTATGTCTGAATTTTATCCTCTCAAAATTTATATGTTGAAGCCTTAACCTACTATATGCCTGTATTTAGACATATGGCACATGGGGGCAATTATTGTTAAATCAGGTCATAAGGATAGAATTCTGATCAGATAGGATTCATGCCTTTATTTTAAAAAGAAGAGAAAACAGAGATGTCTCTGTCTCTCTCTCTCCCCTGCATACAGGAAAAGCATTGTGAAGGATATAATGAGAAGGTAGTCACCTCCAAGCCAGGAGCATGCCCTCACCCAAAACTGAAACTGTTGGGCCTTAAATTGAGATTTCTTGTTTCTAAGAGGGTGAGAAATAAATTTCTGTTGTTTGAGACACACAGCCTATGGAAGTTTGTTATGGCAGACCTAGCAGATTAATACAGTAACAGTCCCTCAACAAATACATATAAAGGCTGGATGTGGTGGCTCATGCCTGTAATCCCAGCACTTTGGGGGGCCAAGGCAGGCGGGTCACAAGGTCAAGAGTTCAAGACCATCCTAGCCAACATGGTGAACTCCCATCTCTTCTAAAAATACAAAATTAGCCATGTGTGTTTGTACACACCTGTAGTCCCATCTACTCGGGAGGCTAACGCAGGAGAATCGCTTTTACCTGGGTGGTAGAGGTTGCAGTGAGCCGAGATCATGCCACTGCACTCCAGCTTGGGTAAAGGAGCGAGACTCTGTCTCAGCCAGTCAATCAATCAATGAATAGCATACATAACAACTAAAATAGTAATGTTTTCTTAGAAGTCAGCTTAATTATGTCAGGTATGAGTGGGTATCATGTGTTAATATTTTTATCCTCTTAACTAGCATTTTCTAGGTAAAAGTTAAAATGTTTTTCACCAAAACTTATACTGCACACTCTGCTAGTGTTGAATATTATATCATACTCTTTCTGTAATGCATAATATGGCCCTTGACTTCAGAATTATATGTGGTGGAAGAAATAGTATAGGATTGTAAATCCAAAGCACTAGGTTTTAGCTCTAGATATGTCATTATTAATTGTGTGAGCTTAGATCAACTTTGAAATTTCTACTTTTTCAGTATATATATATATGCTTGTTTAAAATCGATAGATTGGCTTTGATATATCAGATTACTTCCAAACCTAAAATTATATAATTATGCATGTCTCGAACACCTCTAATTAGGAAATCTTCATTACATTTTTGCCAATATAACATTCTGTTCTATTTTTTTCAGCTTCCACAGTCAAGTTTCAGTTATATTTTAGCTACACATAGACATTTCACAGCATATGGCAATCCAACAGTTGAATGTCACTACTAAGTAATGTTTAAATCATGGAATGGATTTAATATATGCTTTATATAAAATAGGATTAAAATTTCTTGTGTGTGGTCCTGCCTCTGATCCTGGTTTAATCCCCTTTTCCTTAACCTAACTACATTGAAGTAGTTAGGTTGTAAGTAGTCTGGCTTTTGGTTAAAAATCCATGACTGATTTTACTTTCCCAACCACGGACAATTTACGAAGGCTTTATCTGGCAGGACTCACAGGGCAAAGCTGTCTTTCCCACCCCAGACATGAAGCAAAGCCGGTGCACTGCATTCCATGGAAAGAGTTAGTCAAGGACTCCGGCAATCTGACAGGTCATGATATTCACATGGTTGTATTCCTAGACAGTAGGTTTTCATTTCTAGCTCTCTTTGAGACTAGGCATCTCAACTGAGACTTCTTACAGGGTGGGAGGGAGTAGGTAGAAGGGAAAACCTAAAAGATGCTTTTCCCCAGTGTGACATTTTCACTTCTAGCGCTCCACTACCCAGTACTTTTCCACTTCCACCATTCGTCACCACCCATAATCCACCAAGCTCCACACCACTGCCTGAGCCTTTGTTTTTCAGGGTGAGGGGTCTTCCTCAATGAGACAACCTCTGAGTCTGTGTGAATCCGCCTGACCCTCCACTGGTATGCTTTTCTGTGGAAGAACATGGAACAGGGAGTCAGCACCTTTTCTTGTTTTAAAATATGCTTAGATTATTTTAGTGAGTGATTAAAGGCTAAATTCTTTATTTTTTTTTTGCTGTTGCTTTAATTGGCTACTCTGACACCAGACAGCTCAGCACTGCTGGCACACTCTTTATTTTTTTCTTTTCAGTCTCTCTCCCCCATTTCCAGCTCAGCCGAGCTCTCGACAGCCTCAGATGAGATCACGGGGCATCCAACCTGCCCTGCGTTCCCCATTTAGGCAAATGTAGATGAGAATGCTCTGATTATGCTTACCATCATCTCTTGCTGTTTTGTTTTCTTTTGTTTTCTCACAGATTGAACATTTTTATTTCTAACTCTTATGTTTGAGGTTAGAGCACTACTGAAATAATGGGAAAGGGGTTTGTCTGATGTTTTTCTCATGACTACACTAGATTTTTGGGATTGGAGAGGAAGGCCAAAAGGTGAAGTGCCACTTTTGTTGCCACAGATAAAGAATAGCTGCTGTTATTTTGACTTATCCCTGATGCTGTGACATATTATTCATAGTTCTTTTAAATTATCTGTCTGATATTTCCAAGAACTGTGTCATATCTAAATGTGTTTCAGATGATAGCTGTGCCTCCTCAGACATGTTTTTCCTCTTGCCTTTTGGAATGCCTTGTAACTTTTTTGTGAAAAACCAAATATGTTGTATAGAGTAATACTTATTGAGATAAATCGGCTGAAATCTCTAAAGAACAAGGTTTTATATGAGTCTTCCTAGAAGTCAAAAAGTGTTTAAAGTTTATTGCCATTATAGGCACCAGAAGCTTTGCATTGCTTTGGTGGACTTATGGAGACATTACATAACTTTCTGAATTTTATTTAGTGGGCCTGCCTTTTGGGGCTGTGCCCTTCAGAAGTGTTTAGTCCTTTTTCTCCCCCTTCCTTCCCCCTAGTCTCTTCCTGGACCATACTGTTGCAGACTCTTTCTTCAAAGCCCTTTCCCCTGCTGACTGTGGCTTGTATGTGTTTATTTTTTTCTTAGGTGAGACATAGAGATAACTGATTTGGTGTAGAAGTCTGATACTCTACTTGGGTAAGGTTTTCAGATTCCACTGAAAATCCATACCCTCAATACCTATTCCCATACCCGTTCTCCAGATTGCTGGTTATATACATAAAAGAACTCAAACAGTTCTTTTCAAGTATAGCACACCTCCTCATGGGTCGCACTCTGATCCTCACCTCTAGGGGCCCACCGGGACTTTAGTCATAGGTCTAGAGGCAAACAGGTGTTGGGGATGACTTCTGAGGGGAATCAACGTTGTCCTGCCTGGCACCTGCTTCAGGGGAGACCATTGCTGTTGCCCCAGGCAGTACAGTGCTTATCTCCTCAAAAGCTGATGGCAGCATGCGTCAGGGAGGGGTTGTTGCCACTACTGGGGATGGGAAAGCTGTTCCTTCTGGCAGAAAAGCCTCGTCAGAGTTTACAAACTCAGTGTCCCCAGCTTCATCAGGGTCCTCCCACACATCCCCATTCCAAGTTTCAGGGTCCCATTCCTTTCCAATCAATGCCCTCACTTTAATAGTAGACACCAGTGAGGCTGTGCATGCATTTTTCATGATAAGAGCTTGTGTCTGTTTTTCCACAAATTTCAGCTTTTTCTTTACAAGAGGTAACATTCTCACTCAGGGCAATTGTAGCAGATCTGAGGCTCAGTATCTGCTTCTGAAGCCAGGAGATAGAATCTCTGAGTTCATCATGTTCATTTATCACTTTGTCCACTGAACTTAGGAGTACCCAGTCAGCTTCATTATCTTCCTTGGTTCTCTACATCAGGTCAAAGGTATTATGTACAGTTACTAAACTCCTTGTCTCTCATGAATGGTGAATCAGAAACATCAAATGCATTGATTTTGTATAACCCTCTAAAAAGTTCATGCCAAGTACTATCAGTGTTCTCCTTATCATTAGAAGTAGAGTCCTTAGCATTTTGGGGTCTAATCATATTAAGCAGCCACCTCCAGAAACCCCAAAAGCAATGAAATAACTCCATCCTTAATATTCTATTCCTCTAAAACCACTCCTGGTACCAAAATCAATCAGTCAATCAATCAATCAATCAATCAATCTAGCTATCTGTCAATCTAAAGGAGAGTTTATTAAGCATTAACTTACACAATCACAAGGTCCCACAATAAGCTGTCTAAAGCTGGGGAGGAAGGAGAACCACTCTGAGTCCCAAAACTGAGGAACTTGGAGTCTGATATTCGATGTGAGGAAGCATCCAGCATGGGAGAAAGATACAGGCTGGGAGGCTGGGCCTGTCTCCTCTTTTCATGCTTTTCTGCCTGCTTTATATTCCCCAGAAACTGATTAGATCATGTCCACCAGATTAAGGTTGGATCTGCCTTCCTACCCACTCATTAATTACTTTCGGCAACATCCACACAGTAACAACCAGGATTAATACTTTGTATCCTTCAAGCCAATCAAGTTGACACTCAGTATCGACATCACAATCTCAAATATATGTGTATTTATAAATACATATCTGTGTGTGCACATAGATGTTCTGTAGCACTCCTGTTGGGTCCCTTTCTTTTTTCTCATAGCAAGATTATAAATAGCTTTATCATAATATTATGTTTTAATAAGGTGTTTTTTGCTTTTTGGTATGTAATCTTTTGAATTCTATAGATATTCTGATCTACTTTTTGTTTTGTGAAGCAATAATGTCTATTCTTTGATGTACATGAAAATTTAATCACATATTATTGTGTTTTCAGATAACCCAACGGTGACCATTTCTCCGGGCTGCAAAGATTGAATCATGAATTGGCATCCATCAAATGCAGGTAGCACTCCTTGCCTTTTAATGGCAGTGATTATGAATAATGTCTTACATTTCACTTCTTCATTGTTTTAGATTTTGTGTGGCTTTATACAATGTGTCAACAATGTATATTAGTCCAGGTTCTCCAAAGAAACAGACAAATCAGAGAGAGAAAGAGAGAGAAATGAAGAGATTTTATATCTAAATCCATAATTGTGTCTTTATCAATGGACAGATAAATTTATTATATATTATTATTTATTGAATGACACATGATTCTGGAGGCCAACAAGTAATAAAATATGCAATTAACAAGCTAGAGATCCAGGAGAGCCAGTGGTGTATTTCCAGTCTGAAGGCCAGACGGCTGGACGTTCAGGATGAGTTAATGTTTTACTTCGAGTCCAAATGTAGGAGAAGATGGATATCCCAGTTTGAAGACAATCAGGCAGGAAGAAACAATTCTTTTTTTACTCAGCCTTTTGTTTGATTTATGCCTTCCGTGGATCCAGTGAGTCACACTACATCAGGGAGGACAGTTTGTTGTATTCAGTCCACAGATCCAAATGTTAGTCGTATCCAGAAGCATCCTCACTGATACACAAGAAAATAATGTTTGAAAATGCCTATGCATTTAATTGCCTAGTCATGTTAACACAAAAATAACTATCACACAGAAGTGATGGGCATATACTGTCATAGCATTATAATCTGTAATTGTATAGTAACAACATGGAAATGCTTTGTTCCCTTATCCTACTCACCTGATACTTTGATGGTCAGGATAATGTGACTCATTCTCATTTTACATAGCTGGTGTCAGTGAGTGTGTGCACCCTTGTTGGACTCTGTTAGATAAAGACAATAACTCTGACTTAGTCTCACATAAAGAATATCATAATTCCTGAAGTGCCCTCACTAGTGGACCCACTTTTTACTGATTCAACAGCATCATAATAACCAGGTTTTAGCCTGTTGGTTTTACTGCTAGTCTATCTTCTCCTTGCCACTCTTCAACTAAAGGCCTTCCCTTAGGTGACCTTTTCTTTCTCTAGGTTGAACTGCGCTCTTACTAGTCTTGCATCATGCATACTGACACCAGGCCTCCTCCTTTAAATTCAGCCTGAGTCCCATCTTTCACTCCGGCAGGGGGTGGTGAAAAGAGCATGAACTTTAGAAGTAGACAGGCCGAGGAGCCATGCCCTGCTTTATAATTACTGTTGTGTGTGTGATCTTTTGTAAAGCAGTTAACTCTTTCAAAATTTACCTTTCTCATTTGAAAGATGAAGGTGAAAATGCTGCCTCCTAACTTTAGAATGAGAATTAAAGGAATGTTTGTAGAAAACATATAGAATCAGGTACATAGAAAAGGCATGATCTCCATTTTCCTTCCCTCTGATATTTACAGAGCACTTGCCATAGATGAGGCTATAACCGGGTATTTAGGGTTGAAAGACAGAGTCTTCGCCATCCAGAAGCTCACGGTCTAGATAAAAGGCAACACAGGTATAAGTAACTATGAACAAAAGGAAAACGTATATAAAATAAGCAAGCCTATGGCAACATGGTTATTCAGAAAGAATGTGCTGCTATCACTCTGAAAATGTTAAGTGGTAGTATCTTGACCAGATAACGCACATTAAGACTTAGAATGAGTTATTTTCCAATAGTAACAAGGTAGGGAGACTTTAACATGTGTAATACATGAGACCGGAAGGTAGTTGCTGGCAACACGAGGTACTTTAGAAGGACTAGATTTTAGTTTATTCAGAATTGGGCTGGGGGAGTCAAAAAAAAATCTTGTAGAATTAAGAGAGGGAATAAATAAGCAAAATCTAGACATGATAAATACATTAATACGTTTAAACTTTTATCAAGTAGGTATTTTTGTTATCCCCATTTTCAAGATAAAACAGAAACAAAAATCAGCATTTTCCACATTACGAAGCTAGTAACTTGCAGAGATGAGGTCACACCTTGGGAATCTGGCTCCCCATACTGTGCATTTAATCAGTCTGTATTTCTCCTCTCTAACAGATTAATGCAGGAAAGCATTGATTTGGGCTCTTCCAATACTTTGTTTTTCAAAAAAGCTCAGTCAAATATGATGTCCTTAAATCATGTTACTAATTCAAGATATTTATCCCCAGTCATTGTACATTGTTTTGTATGATGTAAAATTAGCTATATAAAACATTTGAGATATAGTACTGATATAATCTAAAAATAGCTTTTTTTAAGTAGATGGATTTTGTATCACCATATAAACGTCTATACTTTTCTATACAGCAGCACTTAACTGAGGAGTCTGACTCCTGCTTACAAATCTACTGGTGATTCTTCAGGTCTGACCTTACCTATGTAATTGCAGAGGCTTTATCTGGCAAGACTCAAAGGGGAAAGCTGCCCTTCCTGCAGCAGACGTGATATACAGTCTGTGCATCACGGTCTATACAGAGAGTTGCAGACATGATCTCAAGCCCCTGGATGGCCTGTCATGCTTTTTAACACGTTTACCTTCTTAGTCACTGTGGCTGCATTCGGAGTCCCTTTATCTGACACCATGGGCAGAGGTATTCTTCAGACACCTAAGGCCTCCTTATGCAGAGAGCAGGGGGAAAACTTGAAGATACTTTCCCCCAATCTGACTCAGCACCCAGAACCTTTCAGTTCCTCGTCCTTTCCCCTTACTGCCCCCAGCCCTCCCGTAGGGTCCACAAAACTGCAGGAACCTTTTATTTGTGGTCATTCAACACTGACATCACCCCAGGTCTGAATTCATCCACCTGACCTTTGACCAGTGTGCTCTCCCATAGGGGAACATGGATCAGTGGGGAGAGAGTGCTCTGTGCTTTTAAACTCTTGTTGATACCGTACTAAGAGTAAGTGGTCAACTCTTTAATTTTTGGTTTGTTGCTTTAATAAGCTAATCTAACACCTGAAATTTCAGCTCTTTCTCTACCAGCTAAGCCGAGCTCCTCACATAAGCAATCAGAAAATAGTATAGACAGTACACCTGTAAGTGCAACAAAATATTTTAATGCCTACAAGTAAACACAATTACAAGAAGAAACTGTAATTTACGTTGAAGGTACTTACATGAATAAAGAAGCATATTTCTTTTACTGAATGGCAATATTGCATACTCAATATTGGTAGAGTTAACTATTCTTTCTGAATAAATGATAAATTCAGTACATGCGATCTTAATATTCTAACTCTTTAATATATTCAGTTGAATGTATATACAGCTTCACAAAGGTTAAAGCAGTTTCATTAAAAATAAAACACTTCCCAAAGTCCTAATTCATAAAGCTCTCATTGATCCCCAATTATAGAATTAAGATTATTTTATGTATCAATTGCTAAGTACCTTTTAATTTTGAATTCGAATGAAAATATATACTTTGTATTTTTATATGAGGAGGAAAAGAGATAAGATTGCTTTCACTAATGGGCATTTTGTTGTTGTTGTTAATGTATAATTCACTTTGATAAGGCCTATAAATTAAAATATGTATTATTAATATTTTATATTTTATTTATAAAACTATGCTTTACATAATTGACTGAATAAATATACTCAAATAAACTGTGTCTGTACAAATGTATAACATATTTTTAAATTAGGGAGATTTCTACAAGATCGGCAGAGGAATGGAGAGAAAAAGTATCAGAGATGGATGGAAGGCAAAGAAACATTGAGATAAACCAAACAGAGAAAACTGTTTATATTATAGGATAATCCCAAAATGTTACTGGCCATAGAAATAAAATATTCAAAGGATAGGTAATTTAGACAATGACTATTATTGCCTGAGGTTTGTTTGTTTGAAATTACCGGAGAAATGAGCTGAGTGAGTTAAAAGTCTTAGTAGAGATAAAAAGCGTAGTCTGAACACATCAACTTGAAGTACTAGAACTAAGAAGGCATTAAACTGAGTTTCAAAAAAATCAAAAGGCCGTTTTAGAACTTGATGAGTTTTGAGTTTGGTGCAGTTCAGTCATGGTTTAAGGTTCATAGAGAGTGATGTATGCCCTTTTTACAAAAGGAAACTTTTTTTATTGTACTTCAGGTTCTGTGGTACATGTGCAGATCATGCAGGATTGTTGCATAGGTACATACATGGCAAGGTGGTTTGCTGCCTTCATCCCCCATCATGTATATCTGGTATTTTTCCCCTTGTTATCCCTCCCCACCCCCTGCTGTCTCTCCCCTGGCCCCCTGCAACTGACCACAGTGTGTGATGCTCCCCTCCCTGTGTCTACATGTTCTAATTGTTCAACACCCACCTATGAGTGAGAACATGTGGTGTTTGGTTTTCTGTTCTTAAGAGAATGGTGGTTTCCAGATTCATCCATGTCCCTATGAAGGACACAAACTCATGGTTTTTTTTGGCTGCATAGTATTCCATGGTGTATATGTGCCACATTTTCTCTATCCATTCTATCCTTGATGGGCATTTGGGTTGGTTCCAGGCCTTTGCAATTGTAAACAGTGCCACAATGAACATATGTGTGCATGTGTCTTTATAACAGAAGAATTTATAATCCTTTGGGTACCCAGTAATAGGATTGTTGGGTCAAATGGTATTTCTATTTCTAGATTCTTGAGGAATTGCCACACTGTCTTCCACATTGGTTGCACTAATTTGCACTCCCACCAACAGTATAAAAGTGTTCCTATTTCTCCACATCCTCTAGAGCAATCTGTTGTCTCCTGATTTTTTAATGATCGTCATTCTAACTGGTGTGAGATGGTATCTCAATATGGTTTTGATTACCAGTGATGATGAGCATTTTGTCATGTGTTTGTTGGCCTCATAGATGTCTACAATAAAGTGTCTGTTCATATTCTTTATCCACTTTTGAATTTGTTTGTATTTTTTTCTAATAAATCTGTTTTTGTTCTTTGTAGATTCTGGATATTGGCCCTTTGTTAGATGGGTAGATTTCAAAAATTTTTTTCCCATTCTGTTGGTTGCTGGTTCACTCTAATGATTGTTTCTTTTGCTGTACAGA